TGAGAATTTTTTTTTTTTTTTTTTTTTTTTTGGCGGATTTTATGGAACTTGAGGAGTGTTTTTGTGTGTTGAGATGATGCGAGTCTCACAGGAGTTTCGCGTCAGTCACAGTCTAACGATATTGATGGATGATGCGAAGGCTGTCCCAGTTGGACGTGTCCTCAGATATTTCTCAGGGTGTGATTGGAAAAGAAAAAATTATAATAATCGTGGCATACGTCATGATGTTCTAAGGTTCTGGGTTCTTTTGTCGGATTTAAAAAAAATGGTTACAATCTACTGCGCGATGATGAGTGAAGAATTTCCAGTTACAGCAAGACTTTTCTACACGCATGTCAGAGGTTGCTACACATTTGTGAGGCCAGCTAAAAAAAAAATCTTGAATTTCTTTGGTTTTTATTCAGTATCCGAATTGAGATGTGGGAAAAATGAACCTTAAAACAACAGCATTTAAATTTTTCAGCTGGCCTGACAAAGATTTTGCACCATGTGACGTGGGTGGAGTTACTGGAAAGTTTTATTTTATCGTCATGCAGTAAATTGAGCAACTTTTTGTAAAATTCGGAGAGAAACAAAATCCCGGAACCTTAGAACATTTTTAGGCTATGTCACGAATTTATTTTATTTTTTCACACGTATGCTAAAAATACTAGAAGCCGCGTCCAACTGGGAAAACCCTCGTATTATGTATCAGATGTACTTCTGCTTTTAGTCTTTCTCTTTTATACTGTACTGTTTTTTCTCCATTCTGTCATCTTGAAATTGATCTCGTAAATCTCATAATTCTGTTATCGTCGGGCTGCAATTTGAGGAGAGATAAAAAAAACAGATGCACTTATCTTATATATCTTAGCAGTTTTTTTTATCTTTTGTCCACCTGGTGTTTAAATGAGTTGAAAAATTGAATGGTGATGATATTTTAAAATTTTCTCCTACACTCCTGTGAATCTGTATTTTTTGGAATTATGCTCAGTTTTCGAGAGTTTACCTCGAGTTATCATAAAATACTAATTTGGGAATGAGAACATCTGTGTGAGGCTGGACTAGTTGAACAACCGAAATAAAGATTCCGTGTGAATTTTAAAAAAAATCATTCGGAACAGGTGCAACACTGGAGCATAACTCAATCGCATTTTATCAAATTCTTGTTTTTCTGTCGTATTTATTAAAAAAAGGGGGGGGGGAATTCTTGGATAATTCGAGGAGGAGGATGAGGAAGACCGAGAATATGATTGCGTTTTGGCGTGTGACTTGAGTTACTTTACAAAAGTCCCTTTGTATACATTCGCTTTACTGCAATGAAGCTTTGGAAGTAATGTACTGTACTGATGTCAGTTCCTTCCCATTTTTGTTTTGTTTTTAAATTATGAGTCACGAGGGGAGAGAATGTGACGTTTCATCGTTCTGGGGAATCCTTACTCAACTTTCGTGGAATACACTACTTGACTACTGTACTGTTCTGCACGGTTCTTTTTTAAATTTAAATGGTCCAGTTCTTCATAAATCCAGGTGGAAAATTTATTGCAAGGATTTCGGTGTGATGGACAAAGTTGTTGTGATGCTCGTTTGCTTTGCGGGGTGGTTTTTCGTCATGTTTCGCGGAAATTGTGAAGCACATAATCTTACTCGGCAACAATTCTGTAGATTTGCTTGCGGTTTCGGGTGTTCTGCCGACGAAAAAATACGGTAATAGTTGCTCGCTATATAGTGTCGGTTTTTTTTTAACTTTCTGGTGTTGGAACGCATTTAAGATCCGGTCTGTGTCTGTATATAAAATAGATGGTGTGAATGAGGTCAATGGTGTCAATTTTCAGTGCTTGTATGATGACCGTCTGAAAAATGTTTTCCTTGAGCGGAGAAAGGCTGGGGTTTTTTTTCTTTTATTTTCTTCCACGCTGATATTAATAAGCCTTTAAATCAAGGAAGGAAAAAAAAAACAAAACATTCGTGTATAGGTGTATTCGTTTCCGTTTCATATTCCCTCGTATACGCGATACCTGTCGGTTTAATTCGATCGGTGCTTGGCTCTGTATCACACTTCCGGTCGACTCGCCGATTTCTGCAGTCGTGTGAGTCTCTCACTACTGCTGTGAACCAGCAAAAACATTTGGCAGATTGGTGTGGGTCTGCACACCATGTTTTGTGGAACACACTGGTCAACAAATCAATCAAAATAACCCTGGAATTACTTGAATTAATCCTAGCTAATTTTTTCAAGAAATAAATTATTTATAATTTGTTTCAATTGAAGAACTCGCAAAGGAACTTTAATCTTTTTGGTGGGCTATCAAAGACAAAATCAATTGGCAGGAGCATATTCGAGTTGTCAATAATTCTGGCGGATCACCTTTTAACAGAGTTTCCAAAGCTTAATTGTTTTTTTAAATATATTGGCAGTTGACGAGGGTTGCGTCATAACTGGGGTTTGACTGCATGAAAAATTCTAGCGGTTTATTTTATTTTTTTCGAATATATTGGTTTGATGAGTGATGCTTCGCGCGACCCCTACCTGATATATTGGAAAGCTTGTCCAACGTGATGATTGTTTCTTCCCATTTCGCAACGCGCACATATATGAGCTTTGATTTAGTTTCGAACCTCGAAAATTGTATGAATGATTGTTTTGTTGTTCGTCCTCAGATGGGGAAGAATTGAGTGGGCATCGGAAGTCGGCCCGTCGTCTGGACGTCGGCTCGAATAAGGACGTGGAGTTGGAGTCGAACTCAGCCGAGAAACACACTGCGAAAAAGTTCCCCGATGACCACGACGAGCACTTGTACGACGAGGCGTCCGTGACTCAACCTCTGGCTCTTCCCGTGGCGCCGTTGGTGAAGAACGAGCAAAAAGAACCTCAGCACGCGGTGGCGGCGGCGGAAGTGGCGTCCCAATACGACGCTGCCGTCGACTCCACGACAACCAAGTTCAGCGAGTGGTTTCATTTTGATGGAGTACCTGAAGGAGGAGGACTGGGAAGTGAACCATTGATGGTCGAAGACGTCCAAACGTCGTCGTCGTCGCCTGCGACGGAAACGAACGTGAAGACGACGACGATATCTACAGTGTTGCCAGAGCAGAGCGATGACCATTGGACGAAGCAGAATCTGACAGCACTGGACATGTTTGATCCGAATAAACCCATTCTTATTTTACCGGTCGACGCTCGTGAGTTATTCTCTCGACTTATTGTTGGCAAACAAAAAAGAAACGAAGACAATTTTTAAATACCTCGGCCAGCGTCGCCAAGCAGCGGAAGAATGTTTGTCAACGGAACAATAGCAATAACAAAAAGTCTCGTCGTTTGAATAAAATTTCTTTTCATCTTCTGTCCCTGTGAAAAAACCGTAAAGGGACCAAGAAAAAGATTCGTTCGACGATTTTCATTGTAACGGAATTTTACTGTATTTTCAAGAGTTTCAGAAAAACGCCTTGCAACTTTCAGAAGCGTAATTTTATTTCTACAGTATTTTTTTCTCTTGGATTCGGAATTTTTTCAAATGTCTGTCTCATGTTTTTGGTGGTCAGTTTTTGAAACGAATATTTTCTGAACTTTGTGTTTGTGTATATATGTTCAGAGAATGATGACGGTGGATCGTCCATGGAGACTTTTTCCGAGCCCAAAGTGCTGGAACAGATGGAGCAGAGTGCTTGGAATGCGACGGCCGGGTTGAAAAATGACGGACATGACACGACGACGACGACTGCGGCGTCAACCACGACGTCGTCCATCTCGACGACGACGACGACGACGACGACGTTGAACGCATCTGAGATCGAGCTGCAGGGCGAAGACCTGATCCAGCAGCTGCTGAAGGACTCCATGACGAGCACGAGTCCCAAGACCGTCGTCATTCTGTCGACTGCCGAGACGTCGACGACCCGGGCTCCGAGTCTCATCGTCGAGGGACGACGGAGAGTCGTTGACAATCAGTTTCTCCATCCGCCGACGAGTTCGGGCTCATCGTCGTCGTCGCGGTGGCGGATGACGAGAGGAGAGGCACTTGCCGTCATCTTGGGATCTGTCGCTGCCGTCCTCGTCATCATGGGTTCGACGCTGTTTCTCTTGACCTGCTTTCTTTTTATTTTTTTATTTTATGTTTCTTCGGAACTTGGCAAGATGCAGGAAAATCTCTTTACGATGAAGCCATATTGGTGCCAGTGAAATTCTTCAACTTCGTTGTAACGAGAAATTGTTTACAAATCAATTCATCCAACATTGTGGATGATGTAGGGCAGTGACCTGTGGCAATCGATGATTCGTTTGAACGAGATTTTACTGTATTCGAATGCTGGTTTGGATTTCGTGTGTATATGGAGTTGGAAGAGGTGCTGCAGTGCAGTGGAAGATGATCCAGGATTTGAGACGTGCAGTATTTAAAATTCACAGTGTCGGCAATTGGTAACTGATTGTGGATTCTTTAAAAGTCTCAATTTCATCGAATTGAAGTCCTTAGAAAATCAGGATTTGCTCTTTTTTGATGAATATGGAAATTAGACCCAGCTGGAACGATTCTTGGATGACATGCTATGAATTTACTCTTTGTTAACAAACTTGGTTGGTTCCAGACTTCCAGATCAAAGTTTTTGAACCAAAAAGATTGTTTATCAAATGTATTTTTTTCTGTAAACTTCTAAATAGAGAACCATGTAATCAATTCCTGACACCCAAAATGCTATTTTAAAAATGCAAGACAAATATCTATCAAGAATGAGTAGCATCCTGTGTGTGCTCAAAATGTTTTGAAGGATTGAATGGAAATATGGATAATGATGAAAATAACGCAATAAAAGCTTCACATTACAAAAAACATTCACATATGAAGTATGATAACTGACATCAGAAATTGAAAAGTTTATTTCACAATGCTGCAACAAAAGAAAAAATTCAGCAGTTGAAAAGTGGAAAAGACTAGAAAAGTGTGTTTGAAAGTGCCGTTGTCCTTAGCTTCTTGCAGCTGGATATCATTTGCTCAATTGATTCTGCTCAAACCTTGGAACATCCTCAGTTACCCACCTAATGTTCAACAAACTTCCGAAATGTTTTTGTAAACTTTTGGTCTGCCCAATCATTTTTCTGCTTGATTCTTCCATTGGAACTGTGATTGAATTGTACCCAGCAGTCCTGTCAGAAACAAATTTGGAATATTTGCCTGTGAAAAAAATGTGTTAACCGAATTCTAGTTTGCTGTTGACCAAGGGACTTTTGTTTGAGGACAAGAGTTTGTAACCAAAAACTTTTTTTGACCAACCAAAAAGATCGTTAAACAAAAAGTTTATTAAACCAGGGGTTTGTCAACCTAGGGTCCATGTATTGGCTGCCAAGATGACAACAACCTACATTTCAAAGTAGTACAGTACTGTAGTTGGCATTTTAATAATGTACGCCAAGCGTACAAATATTTAATTTGTAGAACAAAGGACGACAGTAACCTTTGTAGTCTTCTCTTTGAGGTGCTGTATCTCTTTTACGTAATTTTTTATACCTGTATTTACAGTTCTGTATTTATTTAATTATGTTTTTTGAGAACGACTTTTGCATTTTATTTGTGTCCTCTTATGTTCCACACAGGTTCATTCGCATTGGTAGTGTACAAAAGGCGACTGGGGCTGAAGTTCGGCTTCGGACAATTCCAGCGACAAGCACTGAGTGATCACTCTGGCTCGGGACGAGGTTCCAGTCGATCTCCGGAAGATGGCAGTGGCTCGAGTCCGTCGTCGGGCGTCTTTGGTCTCGGTCAACTGAGTTCGAACCTGAGTCGGGGCCTGGGGCTGACTGCAGGAGCGACATCTTGTCGAAGGAACACGTCTCGCGTCGCGTCTTTGTACGGCGGTCGTCGGTGGGGTGTCTCTGCCTACTCGAGTGACGGGCACTCGAACCATATCGATCTGGGCCACGGGAACATGGATGACCTGAGCTTCCAGCCGTCGTACATGCAACGAAGTCTCGAGTCTCCCAGGGTTTGTTCCTCTGTTTTTTCTTCTTTCTTGTCGACTTGAATTATGGCTCATTAAATTCCGAGATTCTTGTGTATGTTTCTTGAAAAGTTTCGCTGTTTGTCAGCTTTCAGAAGATTTTGAAAAATTTTTCCCACATCCCATCATTCAAAGGGTTGAGACCCAACTTGATAGCAGAAATTGGGTTTCAAGAGGTTTTTGATGAGTGGGAATGAAAATACTGGAATAATCTGGTATCCTTTTTCAATGCAGTCAGTCCCCTTAATTGGTAGCTCAGAGTGTGCATCAAATATACCTGCATTTTTTTTAGGTATAATTGCAAGAAAACAAATGTATTGAGTGAACAAAGAAAAATGATTTACATCTTGTTCTTTTTTTCGTTTTGACAGGAAGGAGTGATTGTGGACGACTTCGCCAGTCTAGACAACGACTCATTCCTCAACTCGTTGGAATTCGTCAACTTCGCCAAGATCAATTCCCAGTTTGGCCACACGAAGCTGTGATATTAAAAAACGGATCATTTTTCTTTTGCCTCCGCTGCGCACCAAAGACCCTCTTTTTTTCAGCGTCGAAGATTATGGGGGTGTTCAAAAAGGCATTTTGCCCATTGGAATTTTCCTTCTTCCTTTTTTTTTTTTTTGCGGACAGGTTGTGTAAAATGTTTTTTTGTTTTTGGGTCTTCAGGAATGCAAGTTCAGTTTGCGTGGGGCATTTATTCTGCGTTTTTTCCTCTTCTTTTTTTTTTTATACAGAAGCGATTTCTGTTGACTCGAGAGGCTACTTACGTATGAGGAGAAGTTTAGAAAAAAGATTTCTTATTGACGAGAGCTGATGATATAGTCGTAGGCCAGTGTTCCAAGACTTGAAAAAAGAAATTTTCCTCTTGAATGGTTGTCGCTTTTTCCTGCTGAGAACTGATAGCTTTTTCGTGATGACTCGAGAAGAAGAAATGAGAGGAAATTTCCGAGCGAGTAGCTTTTGTGTCGTCGTCGTCTCATATCGCGGCGGGGAAATGCGAGATTGATTGCTATGAAATCCGTCCAGTGTGTTTTGCAAGTGTTTTTGTTCGTTTGATTATCCCTCTATAATTCTATATGTCTTCTTATTGTTCCAACTCAAGGGTTGTTGATTTCGTGATAACCTTTTTTCCCCCTCAAAAAGAGTAACTGCTGAAAAAGGGGTTGCGATTTTTTGGGGTTTCGTCAGGTTCGCGAAACAATATTTTTTTTTCAGTAAGGGGGAGATAAAATGGGTAACGTTGGATTCCAATTGTTCTGACGAGCTTTTTTTTTCCTGGGTTGTCGAGCAATATCCTGTTGTTGTATGGTCAGATTTTTTTTGTTTTGTTGAGAATGGATGGCGAATTCTGACTGGAGATCTGGATTTTTTACTTATACGTTTTCATGCAGGTGCTGGAAAAGCAAATTATTTTTTTGGCTCTATTATGAACACATCATTTTCGAGTCTTGAAAATGGTTTGTTCATTTTCTGTTCAATTGATGAAGATTCATGGAAATGGTTGAGATTATCATCATTGCAAGACTTTTAGTGTTATTGTTGAACTCGAATTTTTACTGAACCTCAAAATTCAAGAAATATGACATACCAAACACGAGGTGGATATGCTATAAAACAATTCTCTATCCCTGCTGAGAATAAGCTGCATTTGCACAGTGGTCACTTGCTGGTTAACAATCTTTTGTTCCTGGGCAAAACATCTGGGGTTGGGCATTCAAATTTTGGTTATGACACTGAAATGTAAAGTAGACCCAAAAACAAATAATTATTCTTTGAACTAATTTGCTAAATCCCTCTTCTATAATGTTAACCTGCTGGGTCCAACAAATGTTATTGGAAAATAAATTTAAGAAACAGTATAAAGTTGTATTGGGCTGAAAATCAATTATTGATCAGGAAAAGAGCATTCTTGATGCAAGGAAAAAATTTGGCCATTTTAAATGCATTTTTTTTGGTCAAGTCACCCAATGGCAGCTTTCTCTTCATTAACTCAGAAGTAGTGGCATCCATCTTGCAGATTTTTTGGCATACCCCATCTTTTTTCCTTCTGAATTCTTGAAATTGACATGGCATTAATTCCAAAGGTTGTTTCAGAACATAACAGAATTCCCTTGGAAGACCTGCTGGAGACAACCCTTTGAATTAAATGTCAGACCATTGTGACAATTGTCTTGATTGACTGTAGCACCTTGTGGATATGATAATCCAAGATTTTCTTCAAATCATGGCAGAAACCACTTCCCACAACCTTGAGGTGAATTTACTTTTTATTAAGATCCATTTTCCCTGTGGTGAAGTGCCATTGAAGCAAAGCTTGGAGCATTTCCAGGCACAACACTGTGTTTATCTGTTGGAGATGGAAGCAAAAACGTCAATCCATTATGATTTGCTGCTAATCTTGCATTCTATAAAGCAATACCAGCCCAATAAATCAATGAATGTACCCTTTTCTCTCTGTAAATAGCAAGGAGAGCAATACTTCAGTTAGCCGGTATCATGGTACAGTTTGATGAATTGGAAGGGGATTTTTGTGTTGAAAAAAATTTATTATTTAAGGGTGCCCAAGATATGTGAGCTGGATCTGGCCCATGCAGCATTTCTGTCTGGCCAAGTAACCCCACAAGCAGCCACCATCACACACTTCAATTTTTTAGAACTTTGCAGACCATTCCAACCCCTGAATACAACTTTCTAGAAATTCTGAGAAAAACAATTTCCTTTGTGCCACTTAATTTTATGTATCATCACAAAGAAAAGCAATATTTCAAAATTCTGGGTAAATTAAAGGTTTCCAATCGCTTTGATGTGATCACTCAGGCCATTACATATATATTGAACGAATAAGCTTTTGCTAACCTGCTATTATCTGATTCTACCTGCTATTCATATCAATTAAGACCGGATATCTTTTAAAATTCTTGCAGCAGTGGAAATTTTGTTCAATTTGAGCATTGCTTAACTGTCTTTTATAATCATTCGGCAGCTTTTGAAATTTCAAACCATTCTGCAGCATCTAAATTTGTCTCCACAGCAAAAAGTTACGAAGTGGAGCATATTCTGGAAGCAGAAACTAGCATGAAAAGAATCACCCATTGAACACTTCCACAGCATTATAATTTCTGAATTTAAAATTAAAAAATTCTCCAAGATACCTGATGAAATTGTTTTTCAATTATTGGCGTTTTCCCCTCTGTCTATTATGCAAATCTTACCATCAGTTAAAAGATATAAAGGGCAGTACTGTCAAAAATATCAGCAAATGCAGGGAATCCTATTTAAATTTGACCATTTTCTGGACACTGCAGCTTGGTTATACAATTTTTTTTTCAGCCTGTGTACATGTTTCAAATGTACTTGAACAAAATGCCCTTTACAAATTTTGGAAAAAATTTTTTTATTCTGCGAAGACCCACCTCCTCATATATTGCCATGTGAATGATGTGACCCACCACACATTTTTAGTTGGGCACCTATGTTGAGTTATTCATTCAGAGATTTCAGACAAGAACCAGGTTCTAGAATGTGCAAAAAGATTTTCAACACCTTTCAGTAAAAAAAAAATTAAAAGGTCCCAGGCTTTGGCGCGTCAAAAAACTATTTTCTGTTTTATATAAAAATTTGGCCCAGTTCACCAGGTGGCAAAAAAAAAAAAATTATGGTCTACATGGCTCTATGAGGCTTTTTTCAGGATTTGAGAAACATCTTGTTTTATACTGGAAAACATTTTTTCATACAGGTGTTAAGGTGTTATTTTTACTGAATTTAGAAAAAATTTGAAAGGATCAGATTCAAGTTTGAACAATTACTACATTTTGGATGATGCTGTCCTTGATGCGTTATTTTATTTGCAATGACACTCATCATGCATGATTCACTCTAATTTACTGAATTTAGAAAAAATTTGAAAGGATCAGATTCAAGTTTGAACAATTACTACATTTTGGATGATGCTGTCCTTGATGCGTTATTTTATTTGCAATGACACTCATCATGCATGATTCACTCTAATTCAAAATATCCACACAATCTTGAAAAAAATGCTTTGCATAATATCGCATGCAACTGAACAAATTCAAGAAAAAAAATCGCATGCGATTTTTGAACTCTTTGCTCATTTCAAGCGTTGGGTCAGATACAACTTTGTAAATGACACAAAACAGAAGGAACCTTGCATCAGTAGAGTTTAACATTTTAAAAATATATTTTGGTATTCTATCACACAGAAAAATACAATCAACCATAATGCTTCAAAAAAACCAATTCTGGAATAGAGCTGATTCTGAACCAGTAACAAAATAATGAAGAAGTCTGTGCAAAGAGAGTTTTGCAAGCTAGGAAGAAAAAAAAATACTGCCAACAAGAATTGTGTTTCAGACCCCCCATCAAAAAGATTGATGCAATAACTCAGTTGGCTCAGCGAGAAGCCCCTTGTGTGTGGCCTCAATAAATATCCCAGTAAGGAACCCCTATGTCAAATGTTTCCAGCTGCAAATCTCAACAAGTACTTGTTCTGAGTACTATAGCACTTGAAACAGGATTCCCAAGTTGCCTCACAATGTCCCAATTGCGCTCAGTGATGGTGCACTTCAACCCTCAGCAATAATAATAAGTGACTCAATCTCACTTAAGAGACAGGGTATATACAAAAAATAAATAAAAGAGGAATTAAATAATGACACAGAATATTTTCGTTATAGGTGGACTCATCGAGTTGATCACGACCATCATTATCGCTTATTCGTGTTCGAAAAGCGAATAATGAATCCGCGATTGCTTCTGTCGCCGGCTTATTATTTATTCAGGTTTGGGGAATGAATGGATTAATTATGTCATGACCAGAAGCTCATCAGATGTATTGCGAAAGGCTTTTGTTCCCCATCATCATCACATAGATCGTGAAAACGGGATCAGGATGAATTGAGCGATTGCGCAATTGTACGTCACTCATCAAGTCACTATACTGTACAACAGTTCTCTCATATATGAGTCATTTATCATCCGAAGATAGCCTGGCCTTTTTATTTATTTTTATTATTCATTCCACCTGCTGGGTGAACTTATTGTGTATACTAGTCAGAGTATATAGTCCATTATCATTGATATAAATAAAGGAGAAATGAAATACTGAAGACCATTGGAGAAATTGTTTGTGATTTTTATTATTCATTCCACCTGCTGGGTGAACTTATTGTGTATACTAGTCAGAGTATATAGTCCATTATCATTGATATAAATAAAGGAGAAATGAAATACTGAAGACCATTGGAGAAATTGTTTGTGGGCAGTTCAATTTTCTGAGAAACCATCCTGGGCATACAAATGCAGCTGGAGCTGTGCACAGCTTGACTGATTGCCCAAAATGATGACTTGATTGATGAGTTACAGTTTGTGTTTGAATATATTAAACTCTAAGTTTTTCTGGTCAAGGCACTTTGGTGGGAGATGATGCTCACCTGTTCAAAGTGTCAAAATTTGGCAACACTTATGAAGGCATATAAAATGAACTCCCTATTTTTCAGTGCCTCATGTTTACAATTGAAGAATAACATGCAATAAAATTGTGAATTTACTCTTCCATAAATTGCTTGCAAACAACTTTTTCAATTTTTATATATAATGTGTTTTGTTGTTCCATGTATGCATGTAATTTGGAAATTTTGATGGAAAAGTTGGCACTTGAGTATGAAATGCTTCATCTTTTCCCATGAAAAGTACATAAGGTACTTGAGTGTATGGTAATGTGTCTGGATCTATAGGTTCAGGAAAATTAATAAAATGGGACTTCACCCACTGAGCATTACTTTTGAACCCAACCATCATCTTGATAATCATATTACAGTAATATCTCAAATGAGTATTTTCTCAGTTGATCACACAATTGACCAGGTTTGAGGTCTTTCAGCAGTGAAGGGTCAGATTAGGCCATACTGCAACCCACATTAAGGTTCCCATGGTTTTGGGAGCTGTTCATCATTCTGGTGATATACAGTAGGTAAGGTATCACTCAATAGTGAGCTGTGCATAACAGAATGTCCAGCTATTTGTGGATTAAAAACAGTTACAATTTGCATAATAAGCATCAGTACAGGGTTTCTCAAACACAAAAAACCCTTTTTAATATGAGTTTTGTTGGGTTCATTTTTTCATCTATATGTCCAAGAACAAGTAGCAGTCACACTTTGAATGGAAACTTCAAGACTGTGCCTGCCTTCTGTCAGGCTAGGTTTGAAAAAATAAAATTTGGATAAAATTGTTGAAGACAGAATCAGCCTTTATTTGGCCAGGTACCTCTTATAGACAGGGCCCTCTAAACAATTAAATTTCAACACACAAAATAAAGCAGGACAAACATGGTCTTA